GCTTCTGTTCAGGGATTTTTATATATTGGGGTTACATTAAAAGAGAGAGAATCAGGGATCAGACCATTTCTGTTTCTTGACATCTCAAGGCTTGCTGACCCTGCTGCATTACTTTCTGTGTGCTTCAGATAGTACCTACTCAGCAGTAGTAAGGGCAAGCAGTAGTGTCTGTCTTGACTAGCCAAGGTGTTAAGAGCTACTCGGGAGTTTCCCTTTTTTGCCATTGTGAATCTGTAAGCATAAGTGTCTTATACTTGTAGAAAAGCAAAAAAGAGAACAAAATGAAGAAAAAGAAAGAAAAGAAGAAAAAGAGAGACAAAACAGGACCTGTCCAGCTTTCCAAGGTATGCTGTGTGAGTTTGAAGTCCTGTTATCTTTCTTATCTAAACACTTAATCTGTCCTGTCATAAAAATGTTTATAACACCACTGGTTTTGTTATCAGCAAATAGAAACCTGTCTTTATTTTTTTTGACAGTTAGGAAGTGTAGAAGATTATTGTCTGTAATTTTATTTAAGATTCTTAACATTACAAAATAAAGCAAAGCTTATGTCTTCTAATGTGTGATCTCATTTTAGTTCTTTAAAAACAAAAAGAAGAATGAAAACTACAGCATGATAACTGGAAAGAAAATTAAGATGAAAATAAAGAAGACTAAGAAGGATAAAGAGGTAAGAGTTAAAAGAGTCTATATATCTCTAAGGGAAAATACTGTATCTTTTAATGTTTTTTCTAATAGTAGTCTTTTGTAGAAGAGTAGATCTCACAGGTAGGAGTTGTAAATTGATTGTAGCTTTTAATGTAGCTATGATGCCATCTGAGAAATTTTAATTTGTTCTTTTGGCAGGTTTTGTGTTATGAGTGGGCTTGGATACTCAGGCATGAGTAGATAAACCAAAGGATGCTTGTGCAGGCTTTTAGAATTTCAGTCCGTAATGTTTAGCTGATTTGTGGCTTTCTCTGTTGGTTTCATTTACACTGTTTTTAATTGTCCTCATCTTCTTCTAGTCTCTTGTGATCAGTTGTGGTAACTGGTGCTTTATTATCTTTTTCTAACGCATGCAAGACTAGCCGTTATTTAGAGAGGAATTAAAAAAAGATGATAGCAGCATTAGGACCATGTGCTCATGCATTCTCTCAAAACAACCAAATATTTTTGCTGAGATATCTAGGGAAGTAGATACAATGGATAGCATTTTGTGCTATTGCTGTAGGTGTTTGGGCTCAGCGCTTAAACAATATATTCACTCTTTTCAGCAGTGTCCATACCTTAGAGTGATCTGCAGAGGGCTTCTGGTACTCGCCAGTATGTGTTAAAAGTGTTACTTTGCTGAGGTAGCCAGTTTGGTGGATTCTGATTCAGCCATAACAGTTCATTCTGTAGCTACCAAAGCAGACCTGAGCATTCCAAGTTAAATTCGATCAAAAATACATTAGCTTCTTTCTGTGGCACTGAAGTTTCTGTTAAATTATGCTGAATGCTTGATAGCCTTGTCCTAGTAAGCTGCTTGTTACATTATTTGCTGTTGGCCCTTTTTCGATTGGTGTCCATGGTCATGAACGTGCTGAATTGAACAACATCCATTCTTCATGATATTTTAAGATTCAATGATTGTTTTATAAATGGTGATTTTTAAAAGCACTGAAAGCAAGTGTTTTGACTGTATGGGCCATCTCTTAGGTAAAGAAAGAACCTAAATTCATGGTTCCCTTTCCATTATGCTGCAAGCTGCTGCTTATGCATAGACAAAAATGACACCTCCCAAAGCACAAGACTTGCTGTGTGTACAGAGAAACTTGCCTCAGACACCAGAGAATTGCATCTGTTCTGCTTGTGAGTTCCCTCCTGAGCAGGCTGAGCTACATGATGGCAACCCAATGGAGCCTCCACGGGAAGCCACTTAGAAAACGTATCATGAAATAGTGGCAGTGATAGCTTGTCTCCTGTAGCATCTCTCCTGGTTACCCGTTGCCTTGCACCTCTCCAGGCACTCACACCTAACTGGTAGCTAGTCACATATCCAGCTGTTCGAATGTGGTAGCGTGCTGAGACGTGAAAGCCCCACAGAAAGTGGGGTTATGCAGCGTTGCTGCGCTGAGTGCAGGTCTGTTAAACCACTGCCTCCGCTTTTCTGCTCTGCAGAGAGACCGGAACCGTGCAGAACTCCTTGAGTTTCTGAACTCTGCCTTATAATGGGAAGAGTGCTAACCAAGGACTTGTAAATATACCAAGCCAACGATCATCATGCCTAGCAAAACACTAAAGGAAAACTCAGGGAAAAGGACGCCAAGATTGACAAGACCAGACTCTCCTGCTGTGAAGACAATCGGGATGTCCTCTTTTAATGGCAAAACGAGGAGTAACTGATAACTTGTTAATGAAGATCCATGTCCTCCTTTTGAGATCCTAAGGTAATAGCCAGGCTGTGGTGTTTTAGGAGAGCCTAAGAGTGTTGTTGGTAATAAGAAATGGCACACTGAAGTCCAGTAATGTAATTTCTATCCTAATTGCATGCAGAACACACTCTTTATTTCCAATGTCTTAATGTTTCTAGTAGTTTAAACAAAGCAGAATATTTGTAAATGTCTATTTGAAAAATGAGGCGTTTCTATATGTATATTTTTTCCAGTAGTGGTTTTACTTGTCCTAAAGAGCAAGTTGACCTTTGTAAATAGAACATGCTTTTAGATAAATGATTTTTTGACAGTTCATTCACTAATATATTACTTTCTTTCAGAGTCTGAAATATGATCTTTCTCTGTACAGTTTATTGCTCGCTCTCACTAGAAAGTGTAATAGTAAAATACTCTGGAGCAACAATGGCAGACGAATTATTTTTATCCCAAAATAGAAGCAGGAGAGGTCTCTGGTTTTGTTTATCTGGATCAGCTGTTCAAAGGCAGCTCACAACAGATAGTTTACCCCCCACATCTGGAGTTGCAGTTCCTAGACCTAAAAATTCTGTTATTCTGGCCTGCCTTTCTGATCCCATGAGCTGTATATCCGTCTGAAGCATGGCAAAGCACACATCGCATGTCTTTGTCTGATGTAAAGAGAAAGAGCCATAGGAATGATGCCAAGGCAGGCAGTGACAGTGACCCTCCAGGTGTGTAGACAGTCCACGGTACGATGAGACAGGTCCGGATATGCAGCTGGACCCCGACATAACTTGTGTGTGTGTGTTTTTAGCCGTGGTAGTTTGCTCAGTGCTCGCTCACTTCCAGAGCCTTGACTTGATTACCCAGCAGGCCCCTGTGCACATAACCCTGATGTGGGAATTCCACTTGAATCCCTTGTGTAGCAAGCGCTCCTCAGCAACCACGATTTAGGAATGCCTGAAAAAAGGAAACAAGGGTAGTTGACTTTGACAAGAGTATCAGGTGTACAGAGATCAGAGTGTGGGGAGTTCATTAAAGAGCAAACAAGCGGAAAACTTTTTTGTGTCTGTGTCTGCCATTGGGTCTTAAGTAAATCTGAAGATTTGTACCATTGCTCAAGGGGTAATTTTAGAACTGTTTGGATGTGTGAAACCTACTGAAGGAGATAGAATCCTGTCTTTTCCCTAGTTTTTTTTGTGTGTGTGTTTGTGAAACATTTTGCAATTGTTGCAGAGATGTAACTCGTTAGAGACTACAGCCCTTATCCAGAAGAGCAAGTCCTTAATGTCCTTATGAACATCAAACATGAAAACACATAGGTGAGGACTGGAGTTTCCTTGACTTTTAACCTGGTGATGGAGGATTTCTTTAGAAGCACTGTTCTGAAATGTCAGTAGGGGAAAAAACAAACAAACAAAGAAAAACCCTCCTCCTTTGTTTCATGGGGATTGTGCTTTGACTTATGCTACTTTGGTGTCTTCCAGCTAGAGATGCCAAAGCATCGTGCCCAGATAAGCAGCTTTTATCTCTGGACTTCTCTTAACAAGGTTAAGCTGAAACATACTTTTAGAAGGCACTAACAACATTGCCATTCCCTAGGTTAAATGTAAAGATAGTCTCATTTCCTGAAAATTTAAGAGAGGGGAAAAAAAGTAGAAATTTGGAAGATAGAAAGCAAACAGAAATGGGAAGCCTGGAGATCTCACATGTAAACAACTGTGTTCATTGGAAGGTTGAGACTTAATTGAAATAATCTGCTTTTTGCTGCCCTATTCAAGATCGGTCAGGATAGTAAAACTCCTTCGCTGTTCCATGCTAGTATGGAACAGGCAAAGGACCTTTAGTAATATGATGTGGTCTGTTCCTCTTATAAAAAGTCTTTTGGGGTTTTAGTAGTTGCCAGCTTTGACTGTACAAAAATGAGGCAGACCACCTTATCTTTAATTAAAAAAAAATCACTTTTTTTTTCTGTTTCAGAAAAGAGGATTTTTCCCTGTTCAATTTTGACATGCTGGATACACTTTGGTGATGCTTTAAAGTACTTCTATGCCAGTATTTATTTCTAAGCTATCATTTCTTTTAGAAAGCCTTGTTCTGCGGCAGTGATACAGTTTTATTCTCTCCTGCCCAGTCAGTTAAGAGAACTCTCCGAAACTTCCCAGCAGTTGCTACTTCTATAAGCCTCCTTTAGTTTTCCATTCATCCCCATGTAGATTCTTGGGTTTCTAAAGAGGTTTGAGTTCATGTTGCATCCTTCCCTCCTTCATTTTTCCTCACAAGCACTGAGATCATGTGCATCTTCTTGGGACTGATGATCTTTGAGGCTGCTATTTAGAGCTGGCCAACAGATTCCAATCTCTCTAGTGAGCACAGGCCCATACCAGCCTAATTACAGAATAATTGTCCATGCCTTGCTGCCTAAGGAATAAACTAATTTTGTTGACCTTTTCACTAAAGCATAACTTCTTAATACTGCTTCAGATTACTGTTGTGGCAGCTGAACCGAAGATTGAACCAGATGTGAAGGTTACAATAGTAAGGTAGGAGATGTAGAGGAATGTGGTAAAATAGAGATCGAGAAACTTGCTGCATGAGGGAACTGTGAGGCAGTGTGGGCTTTTGACCTGGTAGGCAAATGGCTGATAGAGAGCCTTGCTACCAGGTCTCCAAAAAGTGCGTATTGTCAGGGAAGATGAAGGCTGGAACAATAGAACAATAGAAAAGGTCTGAGGAAGGGATGGAGGGAGACTGCTGCTGTCAAAAGTCATGGAGTGGGGCAGAGGTCAGATAATAAGGGGCTGCAGAGGCTTACATGGCTGGACAAGTTGAGATTCTTGCTAAAATGTTGAATAATAGAAATCTCTCAGATGTGAAACCTACTTTTTTGTGTGTGTTACGTGACAATCTTCCTTATCACATCTACTTTCTGTGTCCCTGTACCATTTTCCATTCTGGGAATCATGCAGAACTGAACTGAATTTTACGAAAATTCCAGAAACAGAAGTCGCTGGAGTGGGAAGGAGGGGAAAGATATGTTCTCTGAGCTGCTGCCACCATGCCCATCCTTCTTGGCACGGTTCTTTCTAAGTGCTCTATCCTATTTACAAGAAGTTGTGCCACAAGCCCCAGAGTTGATAAGACTTGGTCCCTTGGGATTTGTGCCTGTTGCTCTTTAAGCCCTTGCTACCATGCTAGTCCGTCCTTCCACTTGTGTGCTGTAGTTAAGTAGGCATAAATGTAAAATGGCTCTGTGGTTTTCATTGGTCCCAGGGTAGAGTGGAGGGTATTCATTTGGATCTCTTGGATCTAGGGAGTGATTGTCATGAAGCAGGAAAGGAACCAGGTATTTCTAAAGATCTCTCCACAATTGATACAACTGGTGGTAATCTCAAAAGGTATTGGAAGGGGATGGAGCACAGTTACTTAAGTTCCTTTTCTTATGCAGGGAAAACAGGCAAAAACCCAAACATGAAAGAATGGTTGATGCGAGTAATTCAGTGATTCAGCCAGTTCTCATGGGCAATGCAATTCTTTGTTACTCTTGTTTCCTTTATGATTTGCTTGAACTTGACTCTTTTGCCTGTGCAAAAATGTACAAGAGATCACGATGAGAAAATACTTATATAAATACTGCTTTGTCTTGGAAGTACTTGCCTCCACGGAACTAAGACGCATCGTCCTGCAGTGCTGTGCAGGGCCTGCGATTTTGATTCCTGTTCAATATTGAGTATGGTTAAACTTAGGCAAGTTGTGCTGTTTTGATGTACCTGGATGTTTCATGCTGCAGGAACATAGGAGCTTCCCAGTCAGCCTCTGCAGCGGGGACAACTGAGTGAGCTCTATATGCAGGGGAAAAGCAGGGGGCAGAGAGGCTGAAGTAACTTGCCCTGGGGTCCCCTGCTGACCCTGCCGTGGTGAGCTGCGGATGGGGGACTTGACCACTGGATGGAGCTCTGATACGCTGTGTTGAACGTACTCTGGTCTTTGCTGTGCATATTTAGAAACAAGTTTCCAAAGTTCTTGCTCGGCTCTGAAGTCTGGGAGCTCCATTCTCATTTGGGCACTCCATGAAATGGCTGGATTTTAAGTGGTAGTGGGTCCTCCTGGAGGATACGAGGACCTGGGCACGCCTGAAAATTCTCCAGTCTGCTCTACTTGGTTTTATTTGAAGCTGTAGGATGATAAGCTTTTGAGAAGCTGCTGCTTAAAATTACTGGCAACCACCCAGCCTTCTATTTCCATCTCTGGGTAAAGCGAATCATGAAAATTACTGTCCAGTGCCAGAGATCATGATTTATTTGGCTGTTGACAGCAGGTATTTTTCTCTTGCCTGTTCAATTTTGTTCTTAAATTGTGATCCACAAGCAGTGTGAAAAATCTAGTGTTTTCCAAGAGGACAGCAG